TTAAGCCCAAAAAAAAAAAAGAAAGAAAAGAAGTAAATACAACAGCAGCTGTATTTCCAAATGTCCCATTTCTGGAGTATGTCAATTCAACATTTTCTTTTATTTTTCTTTGTTTTATATTTATCTTATAAATACTTTTTTCTCTACTTGTAAGGGCCACCAGAAACAGTAACACGTTTTAGTATCCATCTTAGGGATGTATTGTCTTGCTCACTGTCTGGTTCTAACACACAATACCTGACACAACTTCAAGATGAGAAGTTCATTTGGCTCATATTTTCAATACCTGGGTGGCTGACTCCAAAGCAAAAAGGGCATGGTGAAGGGTTTAGGCAGAGGCAAGCTGCTCACATCACAGTGAACGCTAAACAGAGAAAGAAGGGAAGAATCACGGAAGGAGATATACCTTTCCAGGTCAATAACAAGCCTCTCTAATCAGGCCCCATCTCCTAACACCAAGTCAGTCTTGGGACCCCAGTAATCCATTCACCAGCCACATGGCCCTCCTCTGAGTGCATGGGGTGGCAGGGCACACTCCAGACCCAAACCAAACAGGATTAACTCTCCAGCCTTCTGTGCTAATGCAGTCCACCAAGAACTTGTTTTCCTCTCCATGCTACAGGACATGAAGCAAATTCACAGCATAGAAATGAACAAAAAGCAAAAAGTGAAGAATAAGAAAGGTGACATGCTAATTAATCCTGGTAAGCAGAAAGCAGAAAATATTCGATGTACACATACCAAAGGCTAAGAGGAGAAACCCTGTAAAAATTCTATGAAATTTTTAGGGGTCTGTGGTCTGCTGTATATTCAAATATCTCCTGTCAGGTGAGGAAAATATTTCTGTAGCTGAACCCTGCTATGTCTAAGAAGTGGACCTCTGTATTTTGATTGCAATTGATACATGATTTAGCCATTTTATTTCTACTCATTTATGAAATAACCCAATATGCTTTCGGTTTTGAGTCGCAGAATAAAAGGTTGCCATTCAACATGCCTTACCTCTTAGGTCCTCTAACTCAGAAAATCTAATAGGGCTTGAGGTACCTTTTGCAGTTAGGGATCCTGAGGGAAACTTTTGTCAGGCCCTCATGAGTAAATCAGTGTGCCCCTCCTGGATTCTGGAGAAAACTGCTGCCTTCTCTGCAGAAAATCTCTCTCCTACTGAGAAAGACCTTTCTCCTTGTTACAAGGTCCTAGTGAAGTCTTACTACTTATTATTGCCCATCAGATAGCCATGTGACTTATTAAAGGAGTATTGTCTGACTCATCAAGCCTTATGGAGCATTAATCAAATGGAAGCAAGAGAGTCATTTTTCGCCACAGGTTTTGAAGTCATAAGTTGCATTAAAATTGGCTCAAATTTCCATGGCTCCTTCTTCTGCCACATGGCCTCCTCTGTCTTGTGTGGAATAGAATAAGGAATAATGATTTGCTCTTTATTCTGGAACTGTATGAACTGAACGATGCAGCACTTATAGGTGATACTGAAGGATAATGGTGAAAATAATCTTTCCAGTGGGAAGAACATCAAGCTATGCACTTGACTGTTCATTCTGTCTGGACAGAGAGAAAAATAGAGGCACACATAGTGAGTCATGAGTGATGAATAAGTTTGGCTGCATGGTCAGCACCTGAGGAAAAACATAATTGAAAAAAGCAATAACAAGAGAAAAGGTATGTAGGAAGACTTCTCCAAATGCGTGAAATTATAAAGATATTTTGTCCCGTATAAATGTTCACAAAAAGTAACCTTTGAAGAGGATGATCTTAATATTCATATGCACAAAGTAACCCATTCTTTTATCATCACAACTGTCCAGTTGGCTCATGAAGAGAATGGTCATGGAAGCTGAGACAGAGCCTGTGGGTAAGCACAGCACAGCAACATGGACTTCCATTCACCTAGACCAACTGGGTATGACCCAATTTGGCCAAGACCAAAAGATCATCACAGGGCTCCTGGACTTGCACCACTCCCAGAGAAAGTGAGCCAGCCACCCAGTAACAGGTTGAATATGGTGGATGGAAACAACATAAAAAAGCTCTTTGTTCTCTGTGGAAAAAAAAGAAACCTCATGCTCATTATGATTTTGCCTTTCCTACCCTTAATGTATCTGTTAACACCATTATCTGTGACTTATAGCATGTCTTATCATCTTCATAGAATTCTATACAACATTGCTTCTGAGAAAGAAACTCATTTTATACAAATTAAGTCTAATATTGGGCTCACGTTCATGGAACTCACTGGTATCATCATGTTCCCCTCATCTTGAAACAGCTGGTCTAATAAAATTGTAGAATGGCCTTTGGACAATTGTTATGGGACCATCTGGAGAAAGTCCTTTATAGTGCTAGAACGATGTTTTTCTGGATGTAAGATATGCTCTGAATCAGTTGTAAATATGCAGTGATATTTTCCCTATAATGAGGATGCATGAATCTGAGAATCACAGGATGGATGTGGAAATGGTACCTAAAATATTAGCCCTAATAATTCCTTAGGAAAAATTGTTGCCTTTTCCTACAACTTTTCACTTTATTTATAGGTATTACTTCCCAAAGGCAAAATGCTTCTATGAGAATATAATATCGTCCTGGATCCTAAGACAATTCTTGGCACTTCATGCCATCAAAATAATAGGCAGAGGGTAGTATCTCTCTGTAGAATGTCACTTAGCCTTCCAATATTTTGTAGTAAAAATTAGTGGAAAGCTGCAACAATCTAAGAGAAGCAGGATTGTTAGTGGCACAGACTCTTCAGGAACGAGGGTCTGGATCAACCACCACAGTAAGTAACTACAATTAACTGAGACACATCCTGGGAACAAGGAAAATATAAAATGCATGGTATAAGAATAAAACTAGAGATACCATCTGTGATCTCATAACCAGTTATGGTCCCCTGACCAAACATGGGTGCTCTAGTAGATGAGTGTCTTCTCTGCTTCAAAGTATATTTGTGTGTGGATGCTTTTGACTTATAATAACCTATTATAATCCCACTGTATAATGAAAATATCAGAAACTAAAGCATATTTAATATATAACCTACCAAACCTCATAGCATGGCAAAATAGTATTAGCAAAATATCTAGCACTTACCCACATGCTTTTCTGGCTGACAGGTGAGGCTCTCTGCTACTGTCCGGTATCTAAGTACTTAGCCAAACTATGGCTTCTACTGCATGCTTGCCACTTTTGCACGATCATAAAGTCAAAAAGTTGTAAGTAAATCCATTGTAATCAGGGACCATCCGTATATATCAATTCCTCCCTTCTGTAATTCCCTACTATAACAAAAGACTTACTGGCTGTGGTTAACTCTATGTTAGGATTAAATTTATAACATACTCAAAGGAAGAATTAACCAGTTGAAAACACCACCAAAAGGTAATCACTTGTGCACCCTCCTCTCAAGAGGACTAGCATGTTTTTCTTGTACAAAGAGTAGCTATAGCAATTTTAGGTGAAAAAAAATGACTTTGTTTTTGCCCTTATCTGGAAGAAAACATGGTTAATATGAGAGCGGCACTAACAAGAACTACACTGTACTTGGTTATACTTAGTTTGCTTAGACTGGGAACTATAATTCCCAGAATTCCATGCCCTGTATTGTTCAGAGAAATAGTTGTTGGCCCAAGAAGGAATTGAGATGAGATTTGTCAGGTATAGGGAAAACAGAAGTCAGCAAGCTCAAGGTACCCAGTGATTTACAGGCTGTCTTCTCTTCCTTACTCCACATCCAGCTGTCCTCCTGCTGCCCTTGATGACCCACCATGAGGTACCTACCCCAGACCGACAGTTCATAGCTCTGCAGAGGCACTAGCTTCTCACCAACTTCTTCACTCCTCCTACCCATATGGGAACAATTTGAGTGACTGAACATACTGGTCTTCACAAAGTTCCTGAAAGTTCCCACTTGTCCACCCACATGGGATTTAAACAGATTAATGACACTCAGATCTTCCAATTTTCCTCTACCAGACTTTTGCTTCCCTGCTCTTCTTCTGCTTGTGTAAGATATTTATGTCCCTTATTTCTACAAATACTTACTGAGACTCATTTTCTGGCTGAGTCCTGACTAAGGAAGTAGAAACACCAAATTGTGGTTTTGATACCCATTTTCTTCACAAAGCCCTTGAAAGACTCCAAAACTCACGTGGAATAGCGCATTATGAAAAGTATGGCTCATTTATAAAACGAATAACCTAACAGGAAGCCTGGAACTTAGCCCGGATATTCAGGTAATAATTGTCCTTTGAATTCTACATCCACTAAGTGGATTAACTGGTATTATAGTACTTCTTGTTGAGAAACAGCGACCAGGGGACAAAGATACTATCTTTATACAAAGTAATAAATGAGTTATTTATTTAGCACCCAGTATAGAAGCATTATTGTACTCTACATTTTACTCATTACCTTCTATCTCCACGAATCTTGCACATTAGGTATTATCCTTATTTTACTAAGAAACAAATGTCTACAGAAGTGTACAGAACCTGCCCAAATTGTAATGCTGAATCCATCCTCAATCTCAGCTCCAAAATAAGTGCTCCTTCTAGGAAGATATATTGGTGCGTACTTCACAGAAACTTCGTTGAACTTTATCTTCTCTTCCCTTCCATGTCCTCTTCAAGATCTCTTTATGCCTGTACACTTCACACTAACCTTTACCAGTGTGAAAACCTTGTAAACCAAGTACTGTTTCTTCCTTTACCTTCTCCTAGGAGGTTACAACATAGAAAGGGGTTTGATGAGCCAAACGGCATGGTGTTTTACTGACAAATAATGGCTGGATATTTTCATTTGCATGGTCTTACAATTAAAATGTTTTCATTCATTTATTTAACAAATATTTACCATACTTCTGATTAGCTTATAAATGATTACCAACACTGAAGCAGTAATGAAAAATCTCATCAATCAGGTTTCTAACTGGTATTTTCTATATGGTATTTTCAAATAAGAGGATGAATTAACATTCAAAGTAGCCATTCCACTGTTGGCCAGTTAACTGTGAAATAAAAATCTTTTTTTTATGGTTCTGAACCATCTGTCCATAATGATTCTATATGGAACAAACTCAATTCACTTGGGTCATATGGTAGTGCTTATGATGTTTGCTCCTCTTCCTTCCAACCTAACTATTGGCTTAGAATTGCAGTCTTGAAGGAGCACCCATGAACATAAATGTCAAGAACTCATTGCACAAAAAACTCACTGAAACACCAATATTGTCAAATGGTGCCAACATCGGTTAGCTGGTTGCTTTTTACACACACAGAAACAGACTATGAACAACTTGAGGCTAGGTATAGTAATCATCTCTTCATCCTTTATACAGTTCAGTGCATACAGAAATTAGGCACTTTAATAGGTGGTCAGGAATAAGTTAATTCCTAATACTTGGTTTGATCTTTACTTAAATCAGTCTAAATAATACTATTTGAGCACCTATTATTGGTCAGACACAGTACAAAGCTTGATGAAACAAAAGAGACACAAACTGTTCCTTAGACCTAATAATCTGAAATTGCTAAAGTAAGAAAAATCTCTCCTGATGATTCACAGAATTAAACTTGGGCCTAGGAAATACGACTGCTGAGTTTCAATTTCCTCACATTCTATCTACTGGTTGGACAAATGATCTGTAAGATTATTTAAATTCTAAAAGTACTATGAGGGGTATAGAATTATAAAGTATTATATAAACTAATACCTGATATTATTATGCTTAAAATTTGAAGTGACTCAAATGGCTGTTCATCTTCTTAGCTCAAAAGCAATTCAGTATCCCCAACGAACACATGCACATCATTATGTAAATTGCATAAATATCCAGCAGTTCTAGAACTGTTTTAACCTAGATCTCTACTGTATAATTAACTTCAAGAGCAATTTTCACTTGACGTTCTCTATAGGATCTAGTGCACTTCAAAAAATGGCACTCAATAAATGAATTAATGTAATGGAAAACAATTTAAGACTCACAAAGGATTCTAACATGAATCCCACTAAATTGTATACAAAAGTGTGCATTTGTAGGCCATTTTGTAGAGTTTTTTGGTTTTATCCACATCTCAAAAGAGATTATCCAAAAATCACTTCATTTAGTATACAGTAATTGAATACCAACTATTTGCCACGCATTGTAGTAGGGTTTAGGCTCAGATCCTAAAACCCTTTATATGAACAGTAAATGCATCTTTCTCATATTCACACCATTGAAATGCATAATCATTAAACATATTTGCATCCTAAAGTCACATCAGATACTGTGGTAATTTATTTGCTGGTAAAATATGTCTTAGATATATATTCCTATTGGCTTCACTATAAAGACTTTATAGTTATAAAACTGATCCAAATTTAATGTGTATTTATATATAGATGGGTACATATATACACACATGAATATACATTAAGGAAAGCTTTAGTGAATCATGCTGCTCAAATTGTTTAAAATATCTCTAATTCATACCACAGCTGGGTTTTCATTTATTCCCAACAATAACAATGAAGTTAGTGTCCTTTTACAAAAATGATGACATATAAAGAAAACTTCATAAAACTGTTTTGTAAGCAATTTCTTCAGGGACTTTCTACTGACTGAAATAAATAGCTTTTAAGTGTTCCAGATGGGGAACAAAATGTAATTTTAAAACCTCAAGAATACCTCTAAATTTTAATGGCAATTTTCCCTTGTGGAAATCTTATCTGTCCTCAATGCAGTTAGCATCATCTATATAGAATCAATCAATATTTTGTCTTAACAGGCATTTTGGTTTTTTGAAGAAAATTATTTTTACCTTTGAGAATGGGTGCCATATTTTGACCCAAACATATGTAGAAAGGATATTTCCCCAGATACAGGCTTAAGAACACTAAAACAGTAAAATCATTCACAGAATGCACTTTACAATATGAAAATTTTAATGCAGAATGATTTAAAATGGTCATTTCCAAAATGTTTACATTTTCAGGAAACAGTGTTTCTAGTTCACTCCCGGACCTGAGCTGCAATAAGTGATAGTGACCAGAAGATGGCGCAGTCTCATTTCCTAAGGATTACTTAATTGTCCCTTGTGTAATTCACAATGCTAACTGTAAAGAGAATTTTTTAAACGTGGTATTGATTTTTGCAAATGGTAGCTAAGAGTAAAAAATAAAACATTCAAAAAAATGAGAACTTCAAATTTCTCAAAAAATTTTACTACTGATCACTTATCTGAAAATGTAAAATATTTTTAAAATATCTTGGTTGGGCTAGGGATTTAGCTCAGTGGTTCTGCCGCCTGCCTTGCAAACACAAGGACCAGAGTTTGATCCCCAGTTCCAAAAAAAAAAAAAAACAACAAAAAATCTTGGTAACTTTTTGTCTTGTGAACAGAAACAAAAAAGAAAAAGTTTTAGAAAATCATTACTAAATTCATACAAATTTTAATTCCTCTTGGCTCATTTTATATTATGCTGGATTACTCTTTGTAACTATAAATTTTTTACAGCTATAAGCCCCACTCTTCACTAAAATAAAAAGTATAGTTTTAAAATAAGAACTTTATAGATGATAATTTAGACAAAAATGTTATTAAATAAGATTTTTCCTAAAAGTTTTATTCAAGACATGCATAAGGTTCAAATGTTTCTTTCATTTAATAAATGCTAGAGTCTTCAAACCTAAAATTTTTTATATTGCTTAAGAAAAAGAATTTTTAAGGCCTGGTATATTTGGGCTAGTTCCCCAAATTTCACCCCAAATGTAGGTGAAATATGCTTACTGACATATATTAAAAGATGTGTCTCTGTGTGTTGTACAATTCTAGAAACACTCCAGAAAGGGATAATGGGCAGATACATTATAGATTGTTCTGATTGGGTCTGATAAATAGTCTAGCACCAGTTATTGAGCTTTTACTAGGAAGGTAGGAAGAATCCCTAATAATTCCTGAAAAGGCATAATCCAAAGTTGGCCGAAAAGGCAATGCTGGAACCAGCTGAGGCGTTAGGTAAGGTGACATAAAACCTGTTAAGCCTCTTCCTGGAGAAGAATATGCCAACTGTAATGGACTAATAGCTAGTCTAGGATTTAAGCTGTAGAGACTTGAATCACCTCTGTAAGAAGCAGATGTGGTCTGAAGAGGAGAAAAAGCTGATTTGTTACCAAGAGTTCCAAAACCAATTCCAGCTAGACTAAAATTTGAAGCTCTCTGAACGGCTGTATTCTCCAAGTCTTCTGAAGGTGCCAAGTCCCCAGTGTCTGGCTCGTGTTCTTTCCCATTTAAGACCTGTTCAATGGCTTGGACCACATCTCCTTTGCAGAACTGCAGGATGCCTTCTAGCCGGCTACGCCCATAGCTTGGAAAAATCTTGGTAAGAATATCAATAGGGTCTCTTGGCCGTGAGGACCCTGTAGGAAACCTGACTCTGGTAGCAATGCAGTCCTTGGTCCACTCACTCTCATTTCCTGACTCCAAATCAGAGGATGACAAGGACCTGGGACTGTCTTCACCTCCTGATTGCTCTCCCGGGTAAGGAGACAGGATGCTATCAGGCTTATTTGAGTGTTCTGAAATAGATGACCAGAGACTTTGTTTCCCATTGACACCGGTAGACTTAGGAGATGATCCTAGAGAAAGCTGATGGGATTTGCAGACTGGCTCTTCTTGTCCATTCTGGCATGAGTCACATTTACTCTCTTTTTGTTCTGCAGGAGTGAAAATAAAGAAGATTCAAATACAAGGATAATTTCCCAGAACCCAGTACTGTTCACTTAGAAATAATGCTGGATAACTCATTCACTCATAATATATTAGTGATATTTATTCACACTGATACATTTTAATTAACAGCTCAAATTTAAAAGGTCATTCAGAATTTGTAGGGGCTGGAATAATGGGGAAGTTCTGGCTTTTATGTCATCTCAGAATCACAAAGACATATACTTTGTAAACATAGTAGTATTAAGGAATCAGAAAAGGAAAGTCTGCTATTACTGAAAAGTGTTAATGTCAACCAATACTGCACACAGTTTGACCCATCATGGTGGTTTGGGATTTTCCCAAATGTCTTTCGAGTTCTGTCCTTATCGATATCAAGGGTTTTTTTTCATAATGGTACCATGTAAAAAGAACTAAGTAAAATGGTTAGATGTAGATAAGAAATTTAAAAAATAAGAATAATCTTAGTTTGAAAATGAATAGCCTATTTTACCACTAATGCTAAATTTCAGTAATTGGTTTTTTTATGCTCACATTTCAGGTTACAATTAAGTTATCTAAAGAACGTGGGAAAATAACAAAATTGTTCATTTCCAATTTAAGCCATAATGACTTGTGCTGTTATCAATTTCAAATCCCACACTTGTACACTTCATTTTACCTGAAATGATACAGAATTGATATTTTTATAATCCTTTGTGAAAGATGTATTTTTAATCCCTATGAAATATTAATAGTTTAATATCAAACTTTTTAAAAGAAACATAAACTGCACTACTGAAATCTGTATGAATCTTCAAACTGTGTTATAAAAAATTACATTATTAGGCATTTGCTTCAAATCACAAACTCCTATCAAACTAAGGATAATTTTCTTAAAATATTTTACACAAAAAGCTACTTTTTCTATCTCAATATTGTTGATATGATAAAATGGTATTTCAATAGTCTTTTGGCAAACTGAAATGGAAAATAACAATAATGCACACATTCACTATAAAACTTTTATTTTGGTTTAGATTTCCTCTTACCCTATACATTTGATCTCTGAAAGGGTAAACTGTCAAGCAGAGTATCCAGCATACTTTGGTCCAGCTGTTTTTCTAGAAAGTTTATGAATGTAATAAAACAACTATTGCTTAAAGCAGTGATTTCCAACCATGATTTGTAATAGTCTCATGTTTTCCAGTTTTCTTAAGGAGCAGCCCTAAATTCTAAAGAAATGTCTATGCCAGGGATTTAGCTCAGTGGTTCCGCTCGCTGCCTGCCTCACAACTGCAAGATCCCGGGTTCAATCCCCGGTACCAAAAAAAACAAAAGAAATGTCTATAGTTTATTTGAAAGTTAAAGTAAGTGTGTATAATTTAGCACTTTGAGGATCAAAATTATATAACTATATCAAATATATAATGAAAGAATAAGTGTTACTATTAAAAAATTACAAAGACTTTCTATTATTTTCAATTTTAAATAATAACTCTAATGAAGTCTGCCAAGGAGAAATATATTGGCATTGATTTTCCATTCCATTTTACTTATAAACATGATTCACTAAATACGTCCCCTTGACACATCTAAAATATCAAAAGTTTACCTCAGTAATTTATGCATAAAAATAATTTCTTATTATCATGCTGTACTCATAGTCAAATATATGTAAAGAAATACTGATTGTATTAGACTTTAGAAAATAAATGTCTTTAAATACTGTGATATTATTTACTTCATCTCTCTGTCCTATAGCTTGCTGTGTTTATTCTATTTCATTTATTATTGTATATTCTGCTTTATATTGTAGTTTAGGATACATACAATCTCCTTCTTGTGAATATAAGGCTCTTTTGTGTAGGAAAATCTCATTCACTTCTGAATCACTGTTGGTCTTTGTCTAATGAATGAATAAGTTAAATAGAAGACCTTCTTACAGTGGATGGATATTGCATAAGCAGAGGGAATCAGTTTAGACAGCCACTGAAGTAGCTTTCCAAAAATTGTTTTAGGGTGGGGGAAGGGGAGGAAGTCATCTGAGGCAAGAAAGAAAAAAAGTAGCCCTACAAAACAGAGCACTTTTGTACCAAATAAATAAATAAATCACACAAATCAATGTCATCAACCAAATCTCACTTCCAAATCTCACAAATCTCACTACTTTAATTTAAGGACTTCTTTTACTTTTCTCTTACATACTTTTACTTACTAGGTTTTTTTTTTTTCATCAACCCTTAAAGAGCTCTCATGAAAAATGTTTAAAGTTTATTTTGCCTATTAAAACAAACTAGAGAACATGTGTAAAAAGTTGATGTAGCTGAACACAATATGCCTCATTTCAATACAGTGATGATCTTTCTCAAAGTACATCTGTGATCCGCTAAGATCTGCAATTGTCACAATTCAGGGACTGTTTCTAATTAATAAATGTCATTTTCATATCAACCTGCTTGGAACTTTTACACAAAGACTGAAATGAAGTTTTCAGTGCTAGTAGGCCCTGTGGAAGGCTATAAAACTCACAAAAATACGGTGGGATTTACATTAGCGGGGGGTGGGTTGGGGAGAAACACACACACACACACACACACGTATATCCTATCACTGGAGGTACTAGTAGCTACTCAGCAGTCAATAAATAAGAGGAAAAAATTAAAACTTCTTAGATAAGAAATCTCCAATACTATACTTTGAAATTCTTACCAATGATTTTACAAATCAGAAAAACCTACACGTATTTCCTACAGTAAGAAAGAAAACATGAAATACTACAGCTTTCTACACTTTCAGAAACTGACTGGGCGGGGTGGTGCCTAAAGAATTACAGGAAAGATTTAATCTGAAGAATTAATTAACGATGTTTTCGGAGATTTCGGTTTCCCCCCCATTTCTAGCTGAAAGCAAAAGTGTTCTCCTAAGGTAAAGATCTGCACTCGCAACCCGTCAGTTTCCCGTCCAAGTTCAGAAGATTCATTCTGGTTTTAAAACTGAATATACTACACAGCAACATTCAAACACAGCACCTCCCTCTGGGCGCCTGGCTGAGCGCCGGCGAGGAGTTCCGCTCAAAGTTACAGCAACTTGCGCTCCTGCGATCATCTATGCTTCACTTTTTCGTTACCTTTTCCTATCACCCGAGGGAACAAACAGCTCTTCCAAGGCGCTAGGTCTTTATCACTCTCACTGACGCACATATTCCAGGCCAGTTTCCCAGAATTTAAGTTCATTTAAACAACTCAGCTCGCCTCCGGGGAGCGGCTACTTATTCAAAGAGCTTTCTATTTTTTTTATTAACAACTCTTCTCTTGTGCAAAGAGCAAAGAAAAGGTCAACTCACCTTGTTTTTCCTCTCCAAAATCTTGCTGAACAATCTCGAAAGCGGAGGTCGCCGGACCACTCGCCGGTCGCAGGGCATCGAGGGCGGCATCCTGGGGGCCCTCGTTCCCGGCACCCCCTCCGGACCACCGCGCCCCGGGGCCCGCGTACAGCAGCCCCCGCAGCCCGCGCGCCTCGCTCTCCTCCTGCGCTTGCTGCCTGCGCAGGGCCACCTGCGCAGCCATGACGCGCTGGCGCTCGGCGATCAGAGCGCACTTGGCACACGCGCAGTCCCGCCAGTGGCAGAAGCGCTTGTGGCCCTTGAGCGCGGACACCACGCCGTGGTTGCGACAGCGCGCGCACTTGGGCGTCCGCGAGTAGCCGCAGCCCATTGCCCGCTCCAGCCCGGGGGCCGGCGGGCAGCCTGCGCGTCCACGCAGGAAGAGGCCGGGCGGCCGCAGGAAAGCAGAAGGCACTGGGATCCCCGACGGCACGGGCCGAGTAGGCGAGGAGGGCGGAGGGTGGGTTCGGCCGCTGCCGCCGCGGTCTCTGCTGCCACGCTGTGTCTGCTCCATTCCAGAATAGTTTCTGGAGAAGGGCAGGACCTGGGAGCAAGCGCGCTCACTGCGGCTAACCCTGCCCGGAGCCCGGGCTTTCCCACCGCTGGCCCCCACGCACCAGGGACAGGTTTACACTTTTCCCGCTCAGGGCCGGGAACGCCCGCTACACGCAGTTTAAGACGCGAAGACGCGCAGCTGCCCCGCGAGCCTCTTATGAAAGAGTCCCGGGCGCGCACCGGGGCGCCCAAGCGCCACGCCGGAAAGGGCGAGGCCGGCAAAGTGACCCCGCCCACGGCCCCGGGCAGAGCGCTGAAGCCCAGCGAGGACCTAGGGAAGAAAGCGCGGTCTTCTGGAGGGCGGGCAGTGAGAAGCCTCAGAAACCCTTCTGAGGAGCTGCGAATGCCCAATCCCCTAAAGAAACTGTTCTCCCACACGTTTTCCCACGAGTTCTTCAACGCATATTTTTATAAAGTAGGCTTCTCACCTTCTTCTTCTTCTTACTACCCTCCTAAATTAAGATATAAAGTTCTGGGCCGGGAATTTAGCTCACTGGTTTCGCCGCCTGCTGCGCAAGCACAAGGACCCCAGTTCGATTTCCGGTGCCAAAAAAAAAAAAGGATATGAAGTTCTTTTTCCCCTAAGCAACTTTGAAGGTGTGGATTCTGAGTCCTCTTCTTCTCTTCGTTTCCAAAGGAAGTCTTCAGGACTACAGCAAAATGGCCCAAATTAGTGAGAAGACACAGATTGAAAGACTGATGCTGTTACTCTCTGGAAAAATGAGTTGTTTTAAATGGATGGGGGCGGGGGCATCAAAACAGTGGCTAAATAGTTAAGAGAACTGATTCACATTCTTTTTGTGCATTCTATTTATTTAGCCTATGCAATTTTAGTTGATGCATAGTGTTATGTTTTGAAATATTACTGCTTAAGCCATTATGAGTCTCTTCTCAATAACAATTTATAGGCAGCAGTTGTGTTAACGTTTCAAAAATACTTCACATTTCTATTCTACAATATTGGGTAAGATCATCTGGATCATTCTTTATGCTAATAAAATGCATTCTTGAAATATCCATTTATCTAATGACTTTAATGGTAAAAACCATCATATTAACTTTAAGCCAAAAGAACATTTATTTGAGGCAGAAAATTCATGGCTTTTTGTTCTTAATGAAAGTGAGAATCCGCATTTTGTCATCTCTTCAAGATAATATTCAGCTTCCTTGACAGGCAATTTAAATTCTGGCCTTAAAATGGCAATTAGTCATGATATTTAACATTCCCTATGCATACAGGGCAGACATTCCTAATAGATCTGAAATTTCTCCTGCCTGGTGTTTCAAACCACCACCACCACCACCACCATCCTCCCATACAGACATCCTATCATAGAGGTTTACAATCCTTCCTGACCACTGAAACTACTTATAGAACTTTTGAAGCCCAATCCAAGCATCCCCACTCTTTTGGTATGAGTCTTAAATGCTCAAGGTGATGATTACATACAATCAAGATTTAGAACTACCACTCTATCACTCCAGGAATTCCAACCTCTGTGTAATCTATTATACTCAAACATTTTTCTATACTTCTGTCTATGCTTGAGCCACATTTGCATAAAAACTGGAACTCACATCCACCACATGAGAGAGAGGAGTTTTAATTTTCACTTTATGTGCCCCCCCCCTTTCTTTTTTAGACTAAGTCTTACTAATTTGGCCAGGCTGGGCCCAAACTTGTGATCCTCCTGCTCAGGCTCCCGGAATGCAAGGTTTACTGGCATGTGCCACCATGCCAGACTACAATTCTTAACATACAAAAAGACCTTCCATAAGTAAAGTGATTACCTAGAATTAAGTGGTATTTCTCTGATTTTATTTGATTATTAATGCTACCTTACAATTATTGCAAGTGATACTGGTTTCTATCAAAAAAGCAGTAACTTTAAATTTATTTAAATAAAATGTGTGCAATTTAAAGAAAAATAGTGATGTAGATTATATATATATATATATATATATATGACAATGGAGACATGTATGTATGCATCTATTTTTTATTTAAAACTCTCAGTAAACTAAGGATAGAAAGAACTCCCTCAGCCTTCAGTAAACAGTGTGATTAACTGAGAATGAATAAGTTTCTTTCTAAGGAAAGGAAGAACAAAGATCTCCACTGTCACCACTTCAACCCCAAATTGTGTTGCATATGCTGTCAGGCAAGAAAGTGGACCCTTGACTTATGAACTCAATAGATTCCCAAAGGCAGGTTGTAACTCAAGTTGGTTGTAAGTCAGTACAGCTGAGTTCTGAATGTTTACCTGGTACATGCTATAGATAACAAGAGGCAGATAAATCTTCTGTTAACCTAATTAACCCAAGTTGTTTGTATGTCATGCCAGTTTTAACTTTAGGGTCCACTGTAAATAAAGGACATTCAGATTGGAAAAGAGGCCCTAAAATTCTTTATTTGCAGATGACACAACCATCTATGTAAAAAATCTGAAGAAATCTGGAAGAAAAGAAAGAAAAACTTTTCTAAAACTAAGAAGTGATTTTTTTCAAGTTGGGAAGATATAAGACTGCTATATCAAGTTATTGCATTTCCACAAATTGAAATAAAATCAAATGATGAGAATGGAATTAAGGATACTAATCCATTTATAATAGCATTCAAAATATGTTTAAAAGCTTAGAGATACATTTAATAGAATACATAAAAAACTGAATGCTAAAAAACATGCTCACAGAAATTAAAAGAGTGTTCCTAGGTGGTGGGTGCACCATTGTTAAAGATGGCAATTCTACCCACATTGATCTGCAGATCAATGCAATCCCCAAAATTAAAAAAAAAAATCCAACAGACTTTTTTGTAGAAATTATCAATCTCATTCTGAAATTCGTATGGAAATGCAAAGGTACAGACTTAGGATAGCCAAAAAAATCTTTGAAAAAGAATAAAGTTGCAAGGTTACCATTATTTTATTTGAAGAATTATTACACAGTTCCAGTAGTGAAAACAATCTAGTATTAGTGTAAAAACAGGAAAATCAACCAATGTGACAGAATAGTGAGTCTAGACATCTTCCTACACATAAATATACAATGGATTTTAGACAAAGGTACAAAAACATTCCACTAGAATGTAGAATGTGGCCCAAGCAAAGATAAAGAGGTATGGTAAAGTTAAGAATAAAGGATAGTTCTTTTCCCAACAAATTTTAGTAAAGTAATTGGACAACTGTATACAAACAAAGAAAAAAAACCCTTTAATCCATATTTCACATCATAGAAAAATTGGCTCAAAGTAGATCAGAGACCCTAATGTAACTCATAAAACACCTTGATTTGGACAAAGATTTCTTAAGGCACAACATCAAAAATATGACCCATAAAAAGAACAAATTGATAAATTTTCCTTCATCAAAATTATAGACATCTCTACTTTAAAAGGTACTGTTAAGAGAATGAAAAATCATACCATGACTTTAAGGACATAGTTGCAGCACACATTACTGGTAAAGAATTGTATACAGAATGTATAATGAACTTTCAAAATTCAATAAGAAAACAAATAATCAGCTTTTATTAATAGACAATAGATTTCAATAAACATGTCACCAGGGAATCTGTAAGAATGGAAAATAAGCAAAAAATGTCGCATATAATTAGTCACTAGAGAAAAACAAACCTACCATGAAATATTATTATATACTTACTATAATCGCTAAAATTGACCACACTAAGTTAAAAGACCACATGATCCATGATTCCATTCCTAGATATTTTCTTCAAGAAAAATAAGGCAAATCTCATATAAAGACACAGAATTTCATAAAATCATCTTTTTTATAACTGTAAATTAGAAAAATACAAACATTAACAGATGAATCAATAAATTGCAGTACGTTCATATAGTGATACAGTAGTAGTAAAATAAAAGTACTAGTACATACTGTAAGATGTAGTTATCAAAAATAATTATTCTGAAAGAAGCAAAAAAGGTATACTATATGATTTTATTTATATAAAATTCTAGAAATATACAGTAATAGAAAACTTACTATCAGGGCTTCCCTGGAACAAGCTGTAGAGCCATGGTAGTACACTCCTGTAATGCCAGCACTCTGGGAGGCCGAAGCAAGAGGATTGCAAGTTTGAGCCCAACCTGCTGGGCAATTTAGCAACTTACAAGGCCTTAAAAAAAGAGTGGACTGGGGTTGTAGTTCAGCGTGAAGGCTGTGTTCAGTCCCCAATACCCTCCCGACACACACATATTTGCAATCATTATAAATCAATTATGAGATCTTACAAAGTTACTATAAAAATAAAACCCTTATTACCTCTAGAAGATAGAAACAGAATAACATAAAGGCAAACTGAGGAAATACACTTTTAATATTAGCACTGAAAACTGGAGCAATAATTGCCAGCACTTCTATTTTTTTTTCAGATACACTGAAAAGCCTGACTCTCCTCTCCCCTCCCCTCCCTTCCCCTCCTCTCCTCTGTTCTCCTCTCCTCTGTTCTTCTCCCTTTTTCCCCTCCTCACCCTTCCACTACCCTTCCCACTCCTCTTCCCTTGTCTTCTAATAGTATTATGTGTCCTCTCTTTTTCTCAAGTTGCACGTAACTCTTTGTTCCTTCTTACCTAAGTAACAGCAATTGAATACTGTTACTTTTCTCATAAATTACACTGGGAATTGCTAACAACTGTAATTTAACAGTGGCAGCAGTTTCATCAAATGAAAAGGTGATCTTTTAATTAAACTGTGTGCAAGTATTAAAGATATATCATTTCCAACTTTATTCTAAATAAAGTAAAAATATAATTTGATAAATGGGAAAGCATGAGAGTATAATAAAAGGAAGGAAGCTAATAAATATAATGCTTCCCAAGCTCATGCATCTTTATAAAAATTATTCATGTCTACTCCAATTCCTTGTCTAACCTTGACTTTTGTAGTCAACTGAAGTGTTTTACTTTTTTGTCCACCTTTCTAGCCACTTAACATAGAGGAGTGGAGTTACAAGTATAAATCTAACTACCTCTGATACAAAGTAGCAGTTAGATATTGGGCAAATCATTTACCCACTCAACTTCATTTTCCCTGTTGGCAAGTGAAAAC